TAATCTTAAAACAACACCTAATATGTACTAGTATTCTAATACATAGAAACTGGGACATGTTTATGTAATTTTATCCTAGTACATAATTGTGTAATTTTATACTGGAACAGAATTCTGTAATTTTATACTGGTACATAAAAGAGTAATTTTATCCTAGTACATAGCTGTGTAATTTGATACTGGTACAGAGTTGTGTAATTTTATACTAGAACAGAATTCTGTAACTTTATACTGGTACATAAAAGAGTAATTATATCCTAGTACATAACTATGTAATTTTATACTGGTACAGAGTTCTGTAATTCTATACTGGAACAAAATTCTGTAACTCTATACTGGTACATAAAAGAGTAATTTCATCCTAGTGCACAACTGTGTAATTTAATATTCTGGTAAATAACTGTGTAATTTGACACTGGTAGATAACTGTGTAATTTGATACTGGAACATAACTGTGTAATTTGATACTGGAACATAACTGTGTAACTTGATACTGGTACTTTCCATGTGTAATTTGATACTGGTAGATAACTGTGTAACTTGATACTGGAACATAACTATGTAATTTGATACTGGAACATAAGTGTGTAACTTGACACTGGTAGATAACTCTGTAATTTAATACTGGTACATAAGTGTGTAACTTGACACTGGTATACATAACTGTGTAACTTGATACTGGTACATAAAAGTGTAACTTAATACTGCTACATATAAGTGCAATTCTATACTTGTACATAAAAGTGTGATTTTATCCTGATACATAACTGTGTAATTCTATACTGGTACATAAAAGTGTAATGTTATCCTTATACATAATTCTGTAATTTTATCCTAACATATAATTGTACAATTTCATCCTTGTACATATTTCTATAATTTTATCCTGATACATAATTCTGTAATTTTACCCAGATACATAATAATATAATGTTATCCTGGTACATAATTCAGCTTGAGCTTGACCTTCAGACGTAGCTTGATCTTGACATATGCTTTGAAGGTCATCTTCCTGATTAACATTCAAGATGCAGCTTGTTCTTTATTAAAAACTCACCTACTGACATATCACGTATAGAACATACTTTGAAGTATACAGAGTGTCTCACAACAGTTGTACCTCCTAAAGGACATTTATAATACATCTTCTCAACTTTCTCCTGTGTGAAACTGCTGTTTGAGTCCTCTGAATTATTATTACATTTCGAATATCTCTAAAAAGAATCTATAATTTCCATTCTCGAGAACCGCCTCTAAAATCTAGCGAATTTCTCGAAGCGACAAATCTGCAACTCCAGAAACAATAGAACGAAACGTTCCTCAACGCAGCAGTTTCCGCATATTGTTTTAAACTTCCATAAGTCGATAGGGTTGTACGTGTAGAAATTCGGCTGATCGAATCGCAATAGATCCCGTTCGAGCGTTTAACATCGCCGGCGAGCACGCTCCGAGTAGCATTATTCAATTTGTTGCCATTATGGCGGTGGAACTGGCTGGAAATGTCTGACTAGCAGACGAATTTTCGAAGCGAAACAGATGCCCGACTCGATTTCCGTTTGGCAAATTCAATCCCTCGGCACTATCTGTAATTAGCCTATGCCTCCCAAAAGAGCGTTCCACGTTCTGCCGGCCATAACCGCGAATGATTAGAAGTGCATTTCCGGCCGGCCATAAACGGGCTAACGCTCGCGTTGAATCGAAGGATTTGCGGTCTCCTTGGATTTCCACGCTTTCGTGCCCGCATACCTCGTGAAAATCGACTACGTGGAATTCCAATAACGTTCGAGAAGTGGGTCGACTCGTTTACGGGCACACGGTCGACTCAAATTGTCGTGAACTTATTATGCCCGGTATCGAGTGCTTTTCTCGATAATTCGACACGTTTCAGGAGAATCGCTTAATGGCCGCGTACGGCGCTCCGCTGAGACTGCGGCCATTTTAGACATATTTCGGTGCCGATTTCTGGGTTCAGACAGGTTTTACAGTTGGCGGGTTGACATTTCTTGAAATTGGACGCTTTGAGATTTTTAAATGATGGAATTTTAGAGGTTTCAGGTCTTAAAATTTTAAGAGTATGAAGGTTTAAGGTTATGTAGAATTTTGAAGGTTTGAAACTTTCAAGTTACTGAATTCTGTAAGATCTTGAAATCTATTGTTTAATCCTCTGAATACTTCAGCATTTTTTTTCAAATTTAAAAATATAAATATTATAACTTTAGAACCTGTAATATTTTTAAATTAAAAAATTTGTAAATAAACTATTTCTACACTGTTTCAGTTACATCTAATAAATATTACATTCGCACAACAAACAAATTAAAAAAAACTATTTACACTCTAATCTTCATCTTTCCATCATTCTACCATCTCCGTCCCTCATTTTCCCATTCTTTGCACTGTGAAATACTAATGAAATGACGAACGCAAAGATTGCAGATTAAAAAGAAATATTTGCCAACGTTGAAACATTTGTTAGTTCAAATTAGCATGTAACGCAAACTTCCATGAAATGGGGACGGAAAAAATGTATCCGATCAATTACCCAACATTCTTCCCGCGGGAAAATAGTATTTCTTCGTGGGGTCTTTTCGCTGAATCATGGCGGTATGAGCAGCAGATGCGTCATTCGGTTAACAGGGTGACATTACAGTTTCGTTTTTCGTTTATCACTCGTAAATCTATATTGAACATGCTCAATTTTGTAGCTATTTGCATCTGTGTTACGTTTTCATGGAACAATTCGCTTTTTTTTCTTTCGTGTGTGTTTATTTCAAGTAAAATACATGTGTGACTCACTAGATGCAAATATTTTATTCTCTATGCAATGTGTATGGTTTAAATTCATGTTAGGTACAATTAGATACAATATTAGGTACAATAAGTATAATTGTAAAAAATAATTGATAATTCAGGGAAAGGTATTTTAGTTGAAAATTACTTGAAAATTACTGACTTTGTAAGAGTTAGGTTATGTTAAGATAGGTTAAGAGTTAAATAAAATGTCTGAAAGAATTAGTTCAAGACGACATTTGAAAAAGATGAAAATTGAGAAGTTGAACATTTTTTAAAATTGTTTATGGAGGTAAATATTAAGTAATATTAAGTGGAAGGTTTTAGGTAGAATATACTTTTGTTATATAATTTTTAAGATTAGTAGAGTTGGAGTGTGTTTAAATACAAATTTATCAAGGTTTCAGGTTATGGTCTGAAGTTAGGTTAGGTTAGAAAAATAGTGTAGGTATCATTTTGTATATATCAATGGCGAATGTAGAACTGAGAATAAATATGAACTTTGTATTCCCAAAATTCCAACGACGTAAAAATCTCAAACTTCAAATTTATGAATAGTTAAAATCTCTGAGTCTCAAATTTCTAAGTTTCTGGACCTTCTAAATCCCAACCTTTCACGTTTCAAAATTTCTAAATTTCTAGACCCTCCAAATTCCAACTTTTCAGGTCCCAAAATTTCTAAATTCCAACCTTCTATTTCCAAAAATTACTAAACTCCAAATTTCTAAATTCCAACCTCCCACTTCCAAAAATTACTAAATTCCAAATTTCTAAATTCCAACCTCCCACTTCCAAAAATTACTAAATTCCAAATTTCTAAATTCCAACCATCCACTTCCAAAAATTACAAAATTCCAACCTCCCTCTTCCAAAAATTTCTAAATTCCAACCTTCCACTTCCAAAAATTACTAAATTCCAAATTTCTAAATTCCAACCTTCCATGTCCCAAAATTTCGAAATCCCAAATTACCAAATTCCAACCTTCCATGTCGCAAAATTCTTAAATCCCAAATTTCTAAATTTCGAGTCCCTCTAAATCCCAACCTTCCATGTCCCAAAAGTCCTAAATCCCAAATTTCTAAATTCCCATCATCCCAAAATTGGACCTCAAATCCCCAACACTTCAATTACCTAAAATCTATCCAAAACCGACCAAAATCCCTAACTCTCAAATTACCTAAAATCGACCTAAAGTTGACCAAAATCCCTAACTCTCCAATGACCTAAAATCCATATAATCTTGTCCAAAATCTCCAACTCTCCAGTTACCTAAAATTGACCTAAAATGGACCAAAATCCCTTACTCCCAAATTACCTAAAGTCGATCCAAACTCTACCAAAATCCCTAACTCTTCAATGACCTAAAATCCACATAGAATCTTTGATAATCCCTAACTCTCCAATCACCCAAATTTATCTCAAGTTGACCAAAATCCCTTCCTCTCTAATTACCTAAAATCGATGCAAACTCGTCCAAAATCCCTAACTCTCGAATTACCCAAATTGATCTAAAGTCAACCAAAATCCCTAATTCTCTAATGACCTAAAGTCCACATAAAATCCTCCAAAATCCCCAACTCTCAAATAACATAATATCCATATAAAATCGTCCAAAATCCTCAACTCTTCAATCACCCAAATCGATCCAAAGTCGATCAAAATTCCTAAATCTCCAGCGATCTAAAATCCACATAAAATCCTCAAAAATCCTCAACTCTCCAATGACATAAAATCCACATAAAATCCTCCAAAATCCCCAACTCTCCAATCACCCAAATCGATCCAAAGTCGACGAAAATCCGTAATTCTCCAGTGACCTAAAAATCCACAAAAATCCTCCAAAATCCTCAACTCTCAAATAACATAAAATTCACATGAAGTCCTCTAAAATCCCCAACTCTCCAGTCACCCAAATCCATCTAAAATCGCCCAAAATGCCAAAATCATTCAAACACTCCAAATTCCACAGAATTAATCTCCCTCGCTCAGCTCCTTTCCATACCTCTCCACAAGAATCCACACCTCCACACGTCTTACAATAAAAAAATGCAAGTCTCATAATGACTCAGCGTAATCGCGATTTCTCGGAACACACTCAAAGCGATTGTATCAGTCATGACGCAATCGATCGAGAAGCGTCGGTCGATGAAGAAACTCGTCGGAGGCGACGCCTGCAGTAACAGGTTGGAATCTTTTGAGCCTGCGCGTTGCAGTCCGCGTTGGTTGGCTGAAAACGAGGCCGTCTCTGAGATACGGCTGCGTTTATAAAACGAGTCGACCGGTAACTCGTTTAGACAGTTCGCAATTATCTCGTGGAGTACCATCGAGCAAAGTACGTACGGATTTTCTTCGCGATATCCGTCCACAAATCATCCTCGCGTTCGATTTCGTGTTGTGCTTTCAGCTCCTAATGGAACCGTCGGATCGATTATCGGGTCGGTTCGAGTTGCCACGCTGAAACAACCGATTTCGTGGCAAATCGAACGTGATCTTGATTGTTTGTTCTGTACCGTGGGCCAATGTTGACGCGTTCTACTGTAACGCTGTGCTCGAACTGTGCGCGGTGCACCGCGATCCGGTGACGCTGAAATTTCTGGACGATAATTATTAGGCGAGATTCGGGGTCAGGTGGTTCTAGGTTATGTAAGATTTAACGGAGAAGTGACTCGTTTGCGGGGTTAATTGGATAGAGGGCGGGGTCTTGCGTGGTGGAATTAATTGGGAGTTAGAGGAAGGTTTTAGGATGATTTTGTGTTTGGGAGTTTAGTCTTTGAGGCACTCAATTTTAAAAAAAAATAAAAACTAGTTGAACAGAGTATATGGACATTATATAATTTAGGCATTTACTGTTATCTATAGGGTATTATGTAATTAGGCATATATCATTTAGGCATTTACTGGCGTTTATAGGGTATTGTCAACGTAATAAAATATTAAATTGTATGACTGTAAATAACTTAGACTTTTCAAGGTGTGAAATTATCCACCTGTGTATTAAAAGCTAAGCAAAAGGTGGGGTAATTTCTAAACCACCTAGCCCTATGCGTAGAATTAAGGGGTGGAGAACCTGGGGCATAGGGGATGTATAGAATTAAGGTGGGGGATTTAGTGTTGGATGTTTGAAATTTTGGATATTGGAAATGATTAGGAACGTTTTTGAGTTAGGGACTTTTTTTAATTTCAAAATATTGGTATTGCTGAAAAGTTAAGTCACTCAGGTATTGAGTGTTTGAGTTATTGAGTTATGGAGTTAGAGGCTTATTAAGTTGTCGAATTGTAGAATCAATTAACTTAACTAAGGCTATTGTACTTAACAAATTATTAAGTTAATGAATCATGGAACAATCGAATTATAGAATTATGGACGTATGGAATTCTTGTATTAATAAGTCACGAAATTGTTGAATTATTGAGTTATTAAATTATGGAATTACTGAATTACTGAATTAGAAAATTATTGAATGACTATATTACTGAGCTATTCATTACTTAATTATTAAGTCTTGCAATTTGAAAATTGTTGAATCATTGACTATTGCAATTTTGGGATTTTTCAGTGGAAGAGTTTAGGACCTAGGGAATTTGGGAACTGGGGAAATTTGAAATTTATGCATTCAGAACTAGAAAATTTTCAAAATTAGAAATTTATGAAATGGAGAATTTATTAAATTTTGGGATTTGGTGATTTGATTGTTGGGTAATTTGGAAATTTGGGAATTCAAGAATTTAAATATAGGGAATTTACAATCTAGGGAATTTAAGAACTATGGAATTTGAAGTGTAGGGAGTTTAGGAACTGCGGAATTTGGAATTTAGAGAATTTAGGATCTGTGGGATTTGGAATGTAGGGAATTTAGGATCTGTGGGATTTGGAATATAGGGAATTTAGAAACTGAGGAATTTGGAGTCCAGGGAATATAGGAACTGTGGGATTTGGAATATAGGGAATTTAGAAACTGAGGAATTTGGAGTATAGGGAATTTGGGAACTGTGGAATTTGGAGTCTAGGGAATTTAGAAATTGAGGAATTTGGAATCTAAGGAATTTAGGATCTGTGGGATTTGAAATCTAGGAAATTTAGGAACTGTGGAATTTGGAATCTAGGGAATTTAGGAACTGTGGAATTTGGAATCTTGGGAATTTAGGAGCTGTGGAATTTGGAATTGTAGAATTTGAAATCTAAGGAATTTAGAAACTGTCGAATTTAGAATCTAGGGAATTTAGGAACTGTGGAGTTTGGAATCTAGGGAATTTAGGAACTGTGGAATTTGGAATCTAGGGAATTTAGGAACTGTCGAATTAAAAATCTAGGGAATTTAGGAACTGTGGAATTTGGAATTGTAGAATTTGGAATCTAGGGAATTTAGAAACTGTCGAATTTAGAATCTAGGGAATTTAGAAACTGTCGAATTTAGAATCTGGGAAATTTAATAACTATGGAATTTGGAATCTACACATTTTAGAAAGTGTACACTTTTGCAATTCACGAAATCTCAAAACTGTGATGTAACATTATATTACATCGAACCAGAAAGATACATATCTTAAAAAATGCACAAGTTAAAATCCTAGTATTTATGAAAATTGAAAACTAGTCTAAAACTTATTGACCATGAAAACAAATGTATAAAAAAAAACTTTCCACAGTATCTCGAAAATACGTGATTGCTTTATTCGGTGGATAATGCGTCCCTGATATCGGTCAACGTTGACCCTCGTATCAGTTAACGCGATAACGAGCCAAAGCGTGGACTGGTTCATTGATCCAAAAGCTATTATTTATTCTTATAGTTAATGGTCCCTGGCAATACCTGGTCACGCTATTGTCATGTATGTACGCGGACACGTATTTACTTTAGCAATTTAGGTCATCAAGATAGGTGGTAGTAATTTTCTGTGATCACATTGATTATTACAGTAAAAACGGTCGTGTGACACGTTATAATGAGAATTATTAATACGGTGATTGGCATGGGAGTTTCCAGTGACTCGCGTATCAAAACGATTAATTGGGCACTGGTGATACGCAACAAATTTTAATACTGAAATATTAATTATGAGACTTATTATGTGTTATGTATAGTAGGCGTGTTAATGTTGTTTCATGTAGTATGTAGCATAATATTATTTTAGTGAGTATTAATTTATTGTGACACTGTGTTAATTGATAACGTGATTGTATACAATTGTAAATTATATGTGTACAATTTTTTTATTATTTTTTTTAATATATGGATTTGTGTTAAAATTGTGTTATATTAAATTGATATTGTGTACAGCATAATATAACATAATATTATTTTACATGACATGGTGTTAATTTATAATAACACAGTATTAATGTTTAATGTAATTGTATACAATTGTAAGTTATATATACACGATTTTATTATTGTTATTTTTAATTAATACAATTTTATAAAACTGCACAAGCATTATTAAATACTTGATTAAAATTGTTTTAATACAATTTAAAATTGTGTTAAAATTATGTTAATACAATTTAAAGCTGTATTAAAATTTTATTAACACTATTTAAAATTGTATTAAAATTATATTATATACAATTAATTTTGTGCTATGTTAAATTAATATTGTGCAGTCTTAAAATAATATTATACTACATACATAATATAAAATATTCAAAACAAAAATTTAAGGTTAGGACAGAAAGATAAATTTTTAAATTAGTCATTTTTCTTAATAATTAATAGTATCAATTACTGTAATTAATATATTTAACTATTCTTATATTTTTCTGACTTCTTCTTACATTACATGTTACATATTTTTATTTCCACACTAAAAAAAGAGGTTATGTGTCAATTATGTTCGTTTCTACTAATTTCAATTGCAAACTGTTATCACAAAAAAATGTGATAAATACATACACAGAAAGTAGAAGTAAATTACTGACTACAGTTGCAAAATGTTACATGTGTAGTTATAAACACATTAATCAACAGAGTGTTGATATCCAAGGTTCTACTGATGATTCATACTGTTTTATGAAGTGGGCACGACAGTTCCTTTTTATCACATAACTCATTAACCACAGTGATAATGCATTTTAAAATACTAACTGTAATATGTTTGTGATTACATGAAGCATCTAATTAATTATACGATTTTATACTATAGAGTTTCACACAGTGTGATACTTGCTTCTTTCTTGATAACTGAGTTATCAAAACCTTGAGATTAAACTTTGTAAACATCGATTACAAATTAGTATGGTATTGTTTTTAAAATTATTATGATGAATGTATAAAAAGAAATGATGAAGTAGTATTTAATATCTAAAGTCCTGAAACAAACATACGTTTAAAAATTCTTCTAATAATAATTTATTAAACAACATTTTCGTCGAGACAGCAAACACGTTCATTTTCCTCAGAATAATCAAATATATATTTCTCTAATTCCATCATTATTTGATTAAATTAAATTTGCACACCAGTCAGCGTGTCGCTTGTCAATGCGGAATGCAGCAGCAGGGAATTGAGATCAATTAAACACCTTCCATCTATCACCTTACTATTTCGATTGAAGTGAGAAACTGAAAGCTGAGCATATGTAATTTAGACTGTAATTAGAACCATCAGACAATTAAATTTACGTAATTAAATATATATAGTAATTTGATGTTTGTCTAAATTTTGTGATGACATAGATTAATACAATTTTTATTACTTTTTAAATGAATGTTCGTATATGTAGAGAGATGTGGACAATTGGGGATAAAGAAGAATTGTGCATTTGGAGAATTATGGAGATTATATATTTTATCAGAAATGTGAAGAATTATTGGTTTGAGGATGTAGAGATTTGGAAGATTTTGGATTTGGTGGAGAGTTGGATGATTGTGGGGTTGGGGATGTAGAGATTTGGATAATTGTGGATTTGGGGATATGGAGAGTTTGGCATATAGGGATTTGGATGAATTTTGGGAAAGTTGAGATTTGGGCAAGTGGAGATTTAGGCAAGTTGAGATTTGGGCAAGTTGAGCTTTGAGCAAGTTGAGATTTGGTGAAGTAGAGATTTGGATAAGTTGAGATTTGGTCAAATGGAGATTTGGTCAAGTAGAGATTTGGATAAGTTGAGATTTGGTCAAATGGAGATTTGGGCAAACTGAGATTTGGTGAAGTAGAGATTTGGATAAGTTGAGATTTGGTCAAATGGAGATTTGGGCAAACTGAGATTTGGTGAAGTAGAGATTTGGATAAGTTGAGATTTGGTCAAATGGAGATTTGGGCAAACTGAGATTTGGTGAAGTAGAGATTTGGATAAGTTGAGATTTGGTCAAATGGAGATTTGGGCAAACTGAGATTTGGTGAAGTAGAGATTTGGATAAGTTGAGATTTGGTCAAATGGAGATTTGGGCAAACTGAGATTTGGTGAAGTAGAGATTTGGATAAGTTGAGATTTGGTCAAATGGAGATTTGGGCAAACTGAGATTTGGTGAAGTAGAGATTTGGATAAGTTGAGATTTGGTCAAATGGAGATTTGGTCAAGTAGAGATTTGGTTAAGTTGAGATTTGGTCAAATGGAGATTTGGGCAAACTGAGACTTGGACAAGTTGAGATTTGGTCAAATGGAGATTTGGGTAAATTGAGATTTGGACAAATAGATGTTTAGGCAAATAAATATTTGGATACATAGAGATTTAAGTAAATATATATTTCAACAAATAGAAATTTATAGATATTTTAATTTGGCTATAGATCTCTATATAGAGATCTAAGCAAGTAGAAATCATATATAGAATTGAGGATACAGGAATTTAGGAATATGGAACATAGATTTGTGGATGTAAATTTAACACTAAAACTACCAAAACACATGATCCTTTTACAAGTTTTTCATGTTCACTTACAAAATTTGTTAAAACAATTTCTTTCGAATTATTCATGAAAGTAAAGAATTAATTCATGTTTTATCATCTATTTATTTATTTAGTAAATTCATTTTTAATTTCAGAAAAGTGTGCATTGGTCACCGGTAGATTCAGTGTTAAACTCCATATTAAAGTTGCTATATGTGGAATATAGAATATAAAATCTACAATAAAAAGTCTGTATACTATATTACAGTTTATATTGCATTACCATATTACTATTATATTATTATAATACTACATACATTACTACATATATGTATACTACATACTGTATATTACAGTCTATACAGTCTACCTAACTCTAGTACAAATTACAACATAAAAGTACAAAATTTAGAACATAAAAGTGAACTAGAAATATTAGAACCTACTGATCCAGAAGTCTATCAATTGAGCAAGCGTTTCCGTATGACACACACATGTTCACACGTTCCGCCATCGAGCACAGTGTAACAAATTACCTTCGAATCGATTAAAAGCAACTTCGGTATATTGCTGCTGGAAAAAGTGACCTACATAACAACGTTTCGCACGTTATTACAGAAAGTACGATGCCGATCGATTTTTATCAACTTCCCGGAAGTTCTCCATGCCGCGCTGTTGCTTTGTCGGCGGCCGCTCTTGGAGTTGAAATGAACTTCAAAGATGTGGACTTAATGAACGGCGCACACTTGAAGCCGGAATACTTGAAGGTCAAACTTCTTTAGAGATTACGGACTTGATTAAATTACGGTTTTTGTGAAATGTTTGTAACGAATTGTTTTCTACAGATTAATCCGCAACATACTATTCCGACGATCGACGATAATGGATTCTGTTTGTGGGAAAGGTAATTTTATTTTACTGGTAAAATATAGAATATTTATTGTGAAGTGATTTATTAGGATTAAAAGTTATTTATTTGTAAATGCATTATCTGGTGTTTGCTGGGTTTAAATTTTCGAACTTGAAAAAATTATATAAAATATTGTTGATAGAGTTTTTAGTAAGTTATTAAAATTCAACCTCAAAAAATATTTATAGAGACACTTAAAAAATTAGTAGTAAAATTACTAGCAGATTATATCAACTTGATATGAAATATTAGTACATGATTATTATTATTATTTCAGTAAAATCATGAAATTCATAAAGAATGTATATGTACATTAAAAATCATCAGTAAAAAATTATCAAAAAAACTATGAACTTCATAAATAATATATATACATTAAAAATCATCAGCAAAAAATTATCAGTAAAATTATGAAGCTCATAAAGAATGTATGTACATAAAAAATCGTCAGCAAAAAAATTATAAATAAAACTATGAACCTCATAAATAATGTGGGCTAATGACCATGGCAGTCGATGCCCATAACGCTAATCATCATCATCATCATAAATAATGTATATACATTAAAAATCATCAGCAAAAAATTATCAATAAAATTATTATGAACCTCGTAAAAAATATAAAAAACAGTGACACACTTGTAAAATCAGTCTCATGAAAAATGAAATAAATGAACTGATAAATAACCTCAAAAAATTATTACTAAAATAACACTTAAATTATGAAATCATTATTACTGAAATAACACTTAAATTATTAAATTATTATTAGTAAAATAACACTTCAATTATTAAATTATTATTAGTAAAATAACACTTCAATTATTAAATTATTGTTAGTAAAATAACACTTAAATTATTAAATTATTATTACTAAAATGACACTTAAATTATTAAATTATTATTAGTAAAATAACACTTAAATTATTAAATTATTATTAGTAAAATAACACTTAAATTATTAAATTATTATTAGTAAAATAACACTTAAATTATTAAATTATTATTAGTAAAATAACACTTAAATTATTAAATTATTATTAGTAAAATAACACTTAAATTATTAAATTATTATTAGTAAAATAACACTTAAATTATTAAATTATTATTAGTAAAATAACACTTAAATTATTAAATTATTATTAGTAAAATAACACTTCAATTATTAAATTATTATTAGTAAAGTAACACTTAAATTATTAAAATTATTATTAGTAAAATGACACTTAAATTATGAAATTATTATTAGTAAAATGACACTTAAATTATTAAATTATTATTACTAAAATGACACTTAAATTATTATATTATTATTACTAAAATGACACCTAAATTATTAAATTATTATTAGTAAAATAACACTTAAATTATTAAATTATTATTAGTAAAATAATACTTAAATTATTAAATTATTATTACTAAAATAACACTTAAATTATTAAATTATTATTAGTAAAATAACACTTAAATTATGAAATTATTATTACTAAAATGACACTTAAATTATTAAATTATTATTACTAAAATGACACTTAAATTATTAAATTATTATTAGTAAAATGACACTTAAATTATTAAATTATTATCACTAAAATAACAAATTATTATCACTAAAACAACCCATAACTTATTAAATGTACTTAAATCAGTAAAAATCGTGTACGAACAAATTCCACAAAACGAAGAACGAAGAAATAACAGAAAGTTCGTGTCGTGAAATTGTACAAAGTATCGAGTCTCTCGAAAGTAATTTCAATCGATTTCCTCAATTTCCCGTTAACAATCGGATAGAATTCCCATAGTTTAGCAACAGTTGATCGTCGAGATACCATGAGTGACTTTCTCGTTCGAGTTACGTTGGTGGAACATGTCGTAATAATGATTGCGAATGCCGTAAATAGAAATAAGTATAGCGTATGCTCGCTCTTTTTCCTTTTAGCCGTGCCATTATGACATACTTGGCGGATCAGTATGGCAAAAACGACAACCTGTACCCGAAGGACCCAAAAAAACGTGCGGTCGTTAATCAAAGACTATACTTCGATGCTTGTACCTTGTACAAAGCCTTTTCCGATTATTATGTGAGTATCGATTCATTTATTTTATGATATGAATTGTGGAAATAAATGCTTTTGTATGTTTTTCTTGGGACGTTGATATTTTTTCAAGATGGACGTTGTGGTCGATGAAATTTATTTCATAGGGTGCATTGTGATAATATATGGTTTTGTAAGTTTTTTTTGGGTGGATGGATTTTTTGTACGATGGACGTTTGTTTATTTCATAATGTGCATTGGGAAAATATATAAGGTTTTATAAGGCTTTCTTGAGCGAGTGAAAGTTTTCCAAGATGGACGTTACGTGTTTTATTATTTTGGAGAATCGTTGACTGATTTGTTGTTTGTGGATTTTAGGGATGTTAGATTATTTTTTTGTGGATTTTAGGGACAATAGATTATTGTTTTATAAATATTAGGTTTACTAGTTTATTATTTGAGGGATTCTACGTTCACTGATTTAGTAGTTTTAAGATTTTAGGTTAAATGATTTATCATTTTTAGAATTTTAGGTTAAGTGATTTATTGTTCTAAGGATTTTAGGTTAACTGATTTGTAACTCTAAAGATTTTAGGTTCACTAGATTATTGTTTTATGGACTTTAGGTTAAGCTAATTTATCCTTGTAAGGATTTTACGTTTACTAGTTTATCATTTTGAAGAGTTTATGTTAACTAAATTTATGTTTCTAAAGATTTTAGCTTCACTCGTTTATCGTTTTAAGAATTTTATGTTAAGCTAATTTTTGCCTGTAAAGATTTTATATGTACTAATTTATAATTTTAAGAATTTTATTTTAAACTAATTTATCATTTTTAGGATTTCAAGTTTAAAATTTATTATTTTAAATATTTCAAGCCCACTAATTTATTATTCTAACTATTTTATATTCACTAAATCACTTCAAAGATGTTAGGTTAACCAATCTGTCATTTTAAGGATTTCATGTTAAACTAATTTATGCTTATAAAAATTTCAGATTCACTAATTTTAATGTTCATTAAAGTCGGTTCACCAGTTTATAATTTTAAGAATTTAAGTTTAAACTAATTTACCATTTTTAGGATTTCAAGCTTAAAATTTATTATTTTAAATATTACAAACCCCCAAATTTATTATTTTATTCCATATTCACTAACATATCACTTCAAAGATTTCAGATTACCGAATTTATGATTTCAGAGATCATATGTCAAACTAATTTATCAAATTCCCTTTTCATGTAAATTCCCTGGTTAACGTTATTTCAATTGACCGATCCAACTGAAATTATATTGCGCCCAAAGTGATTAAAAATTCCAGTTAATTAATTATATATGTATATATTTTGCAGTATCCGATCGTGTTTGCTAAAGCGCCGAAAGACCAAGCCAAATATGAGGCTCTCGGTACAGCCTTCCAATTTCTCGATAAATTCCTCGAGGGGCAAAACTATGTGGCAGGAAATAATATGACCCTTGCTGATTTGAGTCTTACTGCTACTGTAACCACTGCAGAGGTAATATTTTTTCTGTTCAGTTTAAAAACTTTATTTTTAGATCATGTTAGGAGGATTGATTTTTTTATGTATTTTTGTTAGTATGTTTTGATTGATGCAATATGTGGAGGGTGTTTTACTTAATGATTAATTATTTAATATAATGATTGATTATATTAAATGATTAATTAGTTGATATAAAATTTGAGGAAATTGTAATTTCTTAGGATATGGTGTGATGTTATGGTTAATGTAATATTACAGTTTTATAAGTCCCAAAAAATCCAAAAGTCCCAAAGGTCCCAAAAATCTCAAAAGTTCAAAGGTTCTAAAAATTCCTAAAATTACATAAGTCCCAAAAATCCAAAAAATCCCAAAAGTTCCAAAATTTCTAAAAATCCCAAGAGTCCCAAAAATCCCAAAAATTCTAAAAATTCCAAAAATCTCTAAGGTCCCAAAAATGCAAAAAATTCTAAGAATTCTAAAAATCCCAAAAGTCCCAAAGGTCCCAAAATTCCCAGAAGTTCCAAAGGTCCCAAAAATCCAAAAAAACCCAAAAGTCCTAAAAATCCCAAAGGCCCCAAAAGTCCCAAAAATCCCAAAAGTCCCAGAAATCACCTAAATTCCAAAAGTACCACAAGTCCCAAAATTCCCAGAAATTCCAAAGGTCCCAAAAATCCCAAAAAACCCAAAAGTCCCAAAAATCCCAAAATTTCCAAAAGTCCCAAAAGTCCCAAAGATCCCAAAAATCCCAAAAGTCCCAGAAATCCCAAAAATTCCAAAGGTACCACAAGTCCCAAAATTCCCAGAAGTTCCAAAGGTCCCAAAAATCCCAAAAAACCCAAAAGTCCCAAAAATCCCAAAATTTCCAAAAGTCCCAAAAGTCCCAAAGATCCCAGAAATCCCAAAGGTCCCAGAAATCACCAAAATTCCAAAAGTACCACAAGTCCCAAAATTCCCAGAAATTCCAAAGGTCCCAAAAATCCCAAAAAACCCACAAGTCCCAAAAATCCCAAAATTTCCAAAAGTCCCAAAGATTCAAAAATTCCAAAAGTACCACAAGTCCCAAAAATCCCAAGAATCCCAAAACAAAAATTTTGTAAATTAAAACCACGAAGTAACCAGCATTACACTTACAGAAAATCGTAAAATATTTATCAACCAATTTAAATTACAAATGAAAATGATCATCATTGCGAATAATTATAACCATAGCGTGTTGAACCGTGTACAACCATTTTCACCGCAGAATACACGGTGTTAATCAGTCAGACGGCAACAATGAGCGCTCAGTTAGTTGTTAGCGTTCTTAATTTACGATGTTTGATAAAACTTGAATGCAACTCTTTGTTTATCGAAGTATTTTCCCGGCGTATCTCCGTAATTTGTTACCGACCTACATCGGACACCTCGAAGATACAAAGAAACAAAAATGGAAATAGAAATTCTTAATCTTGACGAGGGTACAACGTGTTTCTTCATTTTACTTGCTATTTTTAATGCATACGAATCGAGAAATATTAAAGGAGAGTGTGGAAGAATTACTGGGATGAAAATTATAAAATTTTTTTAATAATAATGTTTTGTGGTTTATGCAAGTTTTTAGAGAAAATGGCGAAATGGTAGTATTTATTGAAATAAATTATTTATAAACTTCTGTAAAGTATAAAGAAATATTAAAGTATTTTTATTCTGTCTGAATGCATATTTTTACAAACGACAGATAGTAAAATATAGTATAGATAAATTATTCATAAATTAGCATGGAGAATGATAGGAAATTTTTGCAAGTATTTACATATTTACATGCAAATTTTTGCAAATGACAGAATATTTTATAAACTGTTACAAAGTGTATTAGAAACAAAGATTAGTAGCATTGAAACTTTGAGAATTTTGCATCTAGAATTTAAAGTATAAAAATACTCCACGTAAAATACTTTTCACATTAAAAAATATAATGTCTATAATTCAAAATATTAAAAAATTTGACATAAAATATTTTTCACATTAAAAAATATAATATATATAATTAAAAATATAAAAATACTCCACGTAAAATATTACTCACACTAAAAAATACAATGTCTATAATTCACAATATAAAAATAATCGATAAAATTAAAAAATTGAAAAACATTTATCGCAGGACTTAAACCATCAAAGAATAGAAAAAAGAATGTCGAAATTAGAATTGAAAATTTAATTTACTATTTTTCTCTGTATCCATCAGCTTCCATTTTATTCTCGAGATACAGATAAAAGGCAACTAGAGTGGTCGCGTAATTTCACCGGCACAAATTGAACAATACATTTCTATTTGACTTAACACATTGTTTCCCATATGACCCACTACTGGGACTTGAAATTCTAACACGAACAAACGTTCGCATCAGGCTGCAGAATTATACGGGATAATAGTCCGTGAACAATCTGTTGCCTCGAATCACGAATTCAAAAATTCTGTTGTTAGCCACCGATCGTACGAAGAAAGTATTAGACCTAACTGTTATATCATTTCAATAGTTCATGGATATTTATCAAATGAATTTAGTGGCAAAGGTATTTGGAGGTTATGGTGACTTTAGTTGTAAATAATTTAATATAAAATTTTTCTTTGTAGTTTTGTGTGCAATGGCCAGAAGTACATGTCGGCCATTTTACATATGCTCTTTGAATTCCACAAGGGTAGTTCCTACCAAAAATATTTGTGATGTTGATCCAAGTGCATTTGTTCGTAAACGCCAAAGGTGTCGACTTATTTCCATCACTACACTTTCGTGACAAATTGCGAAAGTTCTAATGATATCCAAAATGCCTTCTCATTTTGCTCAAAAATTGATTTTTATCGACTACTGAAAATTTGCATCTCAGAAAATTTGTTAATAATATCAAGTCGTCGACAACGTAAGAGCTTGTTAAAAATTTGTTTGAATTTAATGTAAATCGACATCACTATCTCTCTAACATAAAACAATGCCTCTAATAGAAAAACAATTACAAATAAATTAAAATGTAAGGTTAAGTAATGTAAGTGGCTAAATGTAGAGGTTATGTAGGGGTTAGAGGTATAAACGAAAATACGAAAGATAGAAAATTAATGACAGAAACCCAGATTTTTATGAATATAGTTTTGTGTGGCGTATCGTTTGGCAAATATTTGTTCGTAGAAAGGAGAAAAAAATATTGACGTATGGAAATTGCTAGAATGTGGAATAGCGCGAAAAATTCGGAGCAGTTAGCGAACAAGTGAAATATTTTTGTAGGCAAACTCGTTCTACGTTGATATTTTCGTTAGGTAAATATTTGTGTATGGGGTGGACAAATATTGACGTACACAAATTCGAACATAATTGAATCAAACAAGACGAACAAAAGATGGGAACTAAGCCCTCTATCACGTTTTGTGATATTTTGTTTTGAATTCGAACATGTTTCACATGTTCAAATAATCAGTTTTAATTTGAACAATTATTGAACTTCAAATAATCAGAAATTCGATAATTTTGATGTTGCAAAATTTCAGTACTAAAATTTTATGATGTTTTAAACTCTCAAGGTTATTCTTTCCTATTTCAAGATCATTCCCTTCTATTTCAAGGTTATACTTCGGTTCAAAGATTCAAAAAGTGCAATCCAAGAAATAGTTTACTATACAAAGATGAAGTAATCCAAGAAATAAATTGCTGTACAAATATCTCTAGTAAAGTCCATTTCTTCCGTTCATTCGATAAATAATTTTTGCAACAGGTTCTGGACTACGACATCAGCAAATACAAGAATGTCAGCAGGTGGTTGGCGAGGATGAAATCAGAGGCGCCGAAGTACGAAGAATACAACAACAAAGGTGTTCAAGCTTTCAAGGCACTCGCAGAGAGCATGATGAAGAAATGAGTAGCTAAATGGTGCACTCTTATAAATTTAAACAATGTAACTGTTAATTTAATGTTCTATTAATTTTAAAATAAAATTTTGCGTCAGTATTGAATTTTCTAATTCTTAAAAGTTCCTTAATTCCTCAGGTAAATTTTGTAGTTCCTTATTTCCTTAAGTTCTAAATTCCTAGACCTTCAATTAAGTTAGTTAATACCTTAGTTTAATTTAATTACTAAAGTACCCAAATCACCAAGCCTCCATTTTGAAATCACCTCAACAAATATACAAACATAACCTAATTTAAACAAACTTAACCTAACCACTTATAGCTAAGAAATAGTTGATAACCTATTAGAAATTATTATCTGGTCATTAAGTATTATGAGGTAGAACGTTGTTATTAACTAGTAGTAATTAGTATGTGGTTTCTCATACATAACCTGACCTAATTTAACCTATTAGAAATTATTATCTGGTCATTAAGTATTATGAGGTAGAACGTTGTTATTAACTATTAGTAATTAGTATGTGGTTCCTCATACATAACCTAATCTAATTTAACCTATTAGAAATTATTATCTAGTCATTAACTATTACAAACTAGAACCTTGTTACTAATCATAAGTAATTAGAATGTGGTTCCTCATACATAACCTAACCACTAACTTACAGTTAAGAACTAGTTATTAACCTACTAGGAATTATTATCTAGTCATTAATTATTATAAACTAGAACCTTGTTACTAACCATAAGTAATTAATATATGGTTCCTCATACATAACCTAACCTAACTTAACCTGACCACTAACTTACAGTTAAGAAATATTAACCTATTATAAATTATTATCTAGTCATTAAGTATTATAAACTAGAACGTTGTTACTAACCATAAGTAATTAGTATGTGGTTCCTCCTCAAGAAAGGAAATAGTTTTATCTCCACGACGTCCAAGGAGACACCACTCGCGGCAACACCTAAATTCACCGTGATTGCGTTACGCAACCACCTGAGACACCATAAATCTCCAGCGCAACAGAAGGTTCTTCGTTTTATGATAAATGAGAACCGACCGAGACAGAAATCCAGGTGCAACGGCCTCACGTGTACCTGGCCGACAATTATTAATGCGATACACAATCGCGTAAGCGTGGAATGAAAGCGAGCTAACCGATTAGAACTTTAAACACAGCCTGAAATGTGGAACGAACGGTGTCGTGCGTTTATTCATTTCGCTTACACTTTGATGCACATTTCTTCAACGACTCTATCGCGGCCATTATGGGCCGCCCTGTTACGAGTACAGTCTCGATAAAAGCGAAAACCACAAAAAATACGAAAAATGGACCTGTAATAGTTTTTAGAAGTTATGCTCTTCACAGTAAATTCAAACAGGAGTACATTTCTAACGAGTTCTTAATTTAATCGATAATTTTATTAATCTTTTGGAGGTTCAAACTTTCGATAGCTGATGAAAGTCGATTTTGGAGCAAAATGGGATGGAATTTTGGATCATCATTTATAGTTAATTTCAGTTGTGGAAAAAGGAAATAATCACAAGGAGATAAGTCAGGATTTGGAGGATGTTGGAACAGGCTTATTTCTCCACCAAAAATTCACGAACAAGTTCTGTGACATGATGCGTCATACAACAGAAACCAACTTCCGGCGCTCGATATTCGGGCCTCACCAACGATCCTCTTCCACAAATGTTCCATAACACCCAAATAATATTCGCAATTAACATTTTGTCCCTGTAGAACGAATTCCCGAAGTATAATTCCTTTAGAATCGTAAAAGCAAATTAACATTGTCTTCTCTCGGGACTTTAGGAATCGCAATTTTTTTTATTTTGGAAAGCCTGGAGATTTCCACGTAGCACTTTGGCGCTTTATTCGAGGTATATACTTGAAGCACCAATCACTAGTTACAATAGATTCCAGGAATGTACAGTTTCGTCTGGCTGTTTTGATAAGATCTCGCAATATTCAACGCGAGCAATTTGTTGCGCTTGCCGGTGATTTTGTGACACGGTGACGAAAGGTTCTGTCGCATTAAACGTTATAAGTTTATTCGTTGCTGGATTCCAATAATTTTTGTGTTTTATAGGGGAGGCATACTGTTTTTAGATAGCATATTTTGATAAATAGCGCTGGTTTTCCTTGAATTTAAAAAGTGGTATCTATGTACAATTGATTTTCACAGAAAGTTTGCTCTTCATCGATCGCACGTTATAGCACTGTTTGACTACCATTTTATTTCTACATCTGTCTTGTAGGCTATAGCATCGAATCGACACGCAGCCACGTTCAGTTCTCCCTAACAACACAACAGTATACATTTACATTTTTTGCACTCCGTGACTTAATTCCCATCGTGTTATTACCGAAGGTGTTGGTTCTGTTGCGTGCTAATTTTGTTACAGGTGATAATTGAAAATGGCAGGGAAATCTGCAATTGTAATTGTTTTCTGGAATAACGGGATGACATTCTTGAAATGTGTGTTTGACAATTCAAATACTCTCTGATACACAAACAAATGTAAAGTAAATGTCAAAAATAAAGAAAACCAGAAATAAATTACTGAACTAAATATCAGAGGTAAATGTAACAAATCAATACGTAAAATAAATAGCACAGGTCAATACCCAAAATAAATATCTGAAATAAATTTCGGAGGTCTATATTGCAAATGGATATCAAAATTAAGTATTTAAAATAATTGGCAAGCATAAATATAAGAAGGAAATGTCTAAAACAAATTGCGGGAAAAAATACGAAAAATCTGTGTCAAATATAAATTTGTGCTAAGTATAAAAAATATTGGTAAATGTTGAAGATAAATATGAAATGCGAATATTTCAGGTAAATATTAAAAATAAATATCGGAAGTAAATGCAAAAAATTAATATTGGAGGTAAATGTTGAAAATAAGTATCAGGAATAAAATAAAATATCACTAATATTATTCCACATATAACCTACTATACAAAAAAATTTAGAAACAAAATTCTTTGAATGTTCTCTTCACAAAATATTACCAATAAATGTTTGACTACCCCTTCATTTTATGTTGAAGTATCTGATGTTGTTCTGGTGTTTCTGTTACCCCGTTTAAGGGGTGGATTTAACTTGTCGGAGGAAATGGAACGCTTCAGCAGTAAATAACGCGGAACCACGAGGATAGATCTTAGAATCGTTGAACAGTTATAAAGGAAACGTGCCGCGGTGTGCAATAAATGCAGAGGAAGATACATATACTGGTATCCGTGGTTTAGTGTCTCTATGAATATTGATTCAGTCAGCGGTATCGATTGCATGTAAAATCGTGGCGAAAATAGTAGAAGTTTTATGGAATATGCATTCCCTCAAGTGGAAAGCATGAATCTCTTTATTCACTATTCCGTGGTTTCAAGAATGTCGTTCCTGTTACAAAATAATCAATAATGTTGTTCTTGTATTAAATAATCTCTTTTGATAAACAATTTTAGCTGCAAACAGTTTCTGATTGATTTCGTTGTAGAATTAATCAAAGTTTTGTAATTTTATGATTTTTAGAATTGAAAAGAAAAAGAAGTTTCAAGCTTTTGACCTAAGCTTAATTTGGCGCAAGCTTGATGTAATTTGTAGTAATTAATTTTGTAATATAGTAACGTTTTTCTTCTTTTAAAGAGAAATTCATCAGCACAGAAATTTACGTAATTAAATTTCAAGAAGAAATGAATTTTTACACAGTAGAATATTTCTTCAATAAAATAAATTTAATAAACAGAAATGAAATAAAATTAAATTAACCTTCACTGTTCGAATGTACTAAATCGAAAATACTTGCACAAGTTAACAAATTAATTATTTGGTCGATGTTCATGAATATGTTAAATGGCAGTTTCAGTTGACAGATTACAATGTCAATAGACTTATACTATGCACCAATGAGTGCGCCGTGTAGAGCAGTTATGCTGACAGCTGAAGCTATAGGATTACCCTTGAACTTGAAACACCTGGATATACTATCTGGCGAACATCTAACACCAGAATATGAGGAGGTAAGTATCAAAGCGTCTCAAGTACCGATGTCAACCCAGGAGCTGGCGCGTGAAAGTAAAAGAAGCCCACCGTGAACATTTGTAGTCACATTTCGGCAAATGAGAATGACAACTGCTGAACGCAAGTAGCACTTGAGAGACGTTTGCCTGTTTTTCGCCTAATTGGCGACCGCGAGAGCCAATATACCGCCGAAAATACGTGTGACGCCATTTTTTTATTCTGACCAATTGGAGTGGCGCTTCTAAACACCACGCGCCAACTCGTGGGTTGACATCGGTATATGGAAATGTGGAATTTGGGGTTTGACAGTTTGGGGTTTAGAAACGTTGAAGTTGGAGTTTGGATGTTTGCGTATTCAGAAATGTAGAAATTTGAGCGGATGAAAATTTGAAGTTGGATATTTAGAAAAGTGGAAAGGGTTTATGGAAATTTGGAAATTTGGATATTTGGAAGGGTAGAAATTTGTGTTTGTGGAAATTTGGATATTTAGAAGGGTGGAAATTTGGGTTTGTGCAAATTTAAAAATTTGGATAGAAGGGTAGTTTCTTGACAAATTTAGATACTTAAGAGTGGAAATTTGGTCATCATAGGCATTTGGCAAGCTGGATAATTGTAAGCTTGATAACTGGAAGTCTAATAAGTGTAAGCTTGATAACTGAAAGTCTGATAAATGTAAGCTTGAGAACAGGAAGTCTGATAAGTGTAAGCTTGATAACTGAAAGTCTGATAAATGTAAGCTTGAGAATAGGAAGTCTGATAAGTGTAAGCGTGATAACTGAAAGTCTGATAAATGTAAGCTTGATAACTGGAAGTCTGATAAATGTAAACATGATTTTGCAAGGTTCCCAAATTCCTATATTGCTCAATGCTCACATCTCAAATTGTATAGCTCCCCAAATCCCTAAAGTCCTACATCTCCAAATCCTTATATTCCCAAATTCCAATATCTCCAAATACCTACATCCCCAAATTACAAAATTCCCAAATTCTATGTTTCCCAAGTCTCAGATCTCAAATTATTTACCTCCCTAAATTTCTGTATCCCCAGATCCCTAAATTCCCAATTCCCTACGTCTCCAAATCTCTATATTCCCAAATTCAGTATTCAGAAATGTAGAAATATAGAAATTTCAGTTGTAGCTCTTCTGAACATCTCAGCCTCTTCACACGCCAACTCGTGGTTTGGCAGCGGTACACCTTTCACTCCTAGAAACTTTACAATAATTTATTAATTTTTACAATAACAAGTATCAGAATAAAAAATTCCAAGCTTCCTGTACTTCTAAATCCTTGAAATCTTAAATTTCTAAATTCCCAAGTTTCGACACTTTTTTCTAAAAAATTCTAAATTCCCAAGTTTCGACACTTTTTTCTAAAAAATTCTAAATTTCTAAATTTTTCTAATTTGCCAATTTTCTTCAATTTCTAAATTTCCACATTTCTACACTTTCACACTACTAAATTTCTAAATTTTCAAATCCCACATCTCTCTACCTTAAAAATTCACAAAATCCAATTTAATAACCAACAGTTTCACCCACAATATTCTTCCTCCATCAACAACAGTATTTTGCTATATAGCCGATTAGCGAGATCAATACTTGAATATCAGACTTGAACTTCGTCCGACCGTATTTATTATACCCCGACGTCAAATACGAATGGTCAAATTCACAATAACGAGACATTAATCGAACGTAAATGTTATTTAGGGGAATGTGATTATGCACCGATATAAATTAATCGGATATGATTATGGAGACATTATACACGGTTTCTCAATCACGGTGTTATGAGCGAATGCCTTAATGTGATTAATAAACCTCCGTAATTAATCAACTTCAAAGCTGCGTTCGCTCAGTTTCATTTAATCCCACAACCGGTTCGCTTAATCGATTCACCCGTTCTGAAATGAAGCTAACTGCACGATTTATGAGAGCGCATCGTGCATTAAATATGTAACCTAATTTTGTATGTTTTTTTTTTTTGTTTATAGATGAATCCTCAGAAAAATGTACCGTTTCTTGTGAATGGTGATGTGAAGCTGTCGGAGAGGTTCGGAATTAATTATAGTGGTTTTTAATTGTTTTTTGATTATTGTTAAGTAGATTATTGTTGGGTAGAGTGCAAATTTGTGTACTGTGTTTTACTGATTGCAGCCGTGCCATTATATCGTACCTGGCCGATCAATATGGTAAAAATGCTAGGTTGTATCCGCGATCACCGGATAAACGAGCTTTGGTCAATCAAATACTGAATTTTGACATGGGTATACTTTATAAGTCGCTCAAGTATTACTACGTTAGTATTTGTTAATTTCATTTATGAATAATATTAAGTTTGGAATTTTGGAATTTTAGAACTTTGGGATTGGAAATTTTGGAATTTGGAAATTTTGTAATTTGGAAATTTTGGAATTTGGAAATTTTGGAATTTGGAACTTTGGGATTCTGAAATTTTGGAATTTGGAAATTTGGAAATTTGGATATTTTGGAATTTGGAAATTGTGGAATTTGGAAATTTTTGAATTTGGAACTTTGGGATTCTGAAATTTTGGAATTTGGAAATTTTGGAATTTGGAAATTTTGGAATTTGGAAATTTTGGAATTTGGAAATTTTGGAATTTGGAAATTTTGGAATTTGGAAATTTTGGAATTTGGAAATTTTGGAATTTGGAAATTTTGGAATTTGGAAATTTTGGAATTTGGAAATTTTGGAATTTGGAAATTTTGGAATTTGGAAATTTTGGAATTTGGAAATTTTGGAATTTGGAAATTTTGGAATTTGGAAATTTTGGAATTTGGAAATTTTGGAATTTGGAAATTTTGGAATTTGGAAATTTTTGAATTTGGAAATTTTGTAATTTGGAAATTTTGTAATTTGGAAATTTTGGAATATGGAAATTTTGGAATTTGAAAATTTTGGAATTTGGATATTTTGGAATTTGGAAATTGGAAATTTTGGAATTTGGAAATTGTGGAATTTGGAAATTTTGGAATTTGGAAATTTTGGAATTTGGAAATTTTGGAATTTGGAAATTTTGGAATTTGGAAATTTTGGAATTTGGAAATTTTGGAATTTGGAAATTTTGGAATTTGGAACTTTGGGATTCTGAAGTTTTGGAATTTGAAAACTTTGGAATTTGGAAATTTTGGTATTTTGGAACTTCGGAATTCTGAAACTTTGGAATTTGAAAATTTTGGAATTTGGAAATTTTGGAATTTTGGAACTTTGGGATTCTGAAACTTTGGCATTTTAAAATTTTGGAATTTGGAAATTTTGGAATTTAGAAATTTTGGAATTTGGAAATTTTGGAATTTGGAAATTTTGGAATTTGGAAATTTTGGAATTTGGAAATTTTGGAATTTGGAAATTTTGGAATTTGGAAATTTTGGAATTTGGAAATTTTGGAATTTGGAAATTTTGGAATTTGGGACTTTGGGATTCTGAAGTTTTGGAATTTGAAAACTTTGGAATTTGGAAATTTTGGAATTTTGGAATTTTGGAATTCTGAAACTGGAATTTGAAAATTTTTGAATTTTGGAACTTTGGGATTCTGAAACTTTGGAATTTGAAAATTTTGGAATTTGGAAATTTTGG